CAAATACTAAAGAAAAAATTAAAAATAATGATTGAGTACTACATTCTTTTTTTCTATTATATTGTATTGTTTATTTTTATTATAGATGAAAAATGAAATCTGTAAATGAACGATACATTTTTAATATTGTTTTGTTGTGTACGATTATAATAAATAAATATTACATTATCTCTTGCACTTTTTTTCCCAATAAAAAACATGTCTGTGATTTGTATATTTGATACTAGAGAAGTACATTGGATATATGTGATATATACTGTGTCTTTATATGTGTGACACTTTACTGCAAGAAATTAGTTTCAGTTTTTTAACACTTAAGGTTCCCAATTGCAGTTGTAGCAATATTTTTAGTTATATAAATGTTATTCATTATTTTTATTAAAATAAAGCGGTGAATATCACGAAAAAATGTAATTAAGGATACATTATACAGAAAACAAAATCAAATATTTCAGATAAAATAAAAAGAAAGTATTACTAGTAGATATATAGAGAAGGGCTTCATATTGAAAATCCATGGACACAGAATTATACATATATAATTACGAGTAATATTTATAATTTACAAGAGTGTGCCTCAAAATAATGTAAAATAGTATATATTTCTGTATTTCATATTGGAATGACATTTTTATTATTACAGTCTGCTCATATTATATTATCTACATATCATTGTTGAATGATAATATTTAATGATTCAGTTCTATTTATAACCAGAAAATTCAAATATATCCATACATACATTTTATATATATATATATATATATATATATATATATATATATATATATATATAATATTTCCTTTCGAAAGGAATAAATAATATTTTTTTCGAATATGCGGGCTGATGTATTTCATGTATAAAATAAAAAAGTAGGACAAATCCTAAAGGAATATTTTAATACGTTAAAATTATAAGCTACACAACAATATACAGCCAAACTTTTTAAGCTAGACTTTAATATGTTCTGTAATTACTGTATAAGCAGTTGGAAAGTTCTAAAAAACTTTTGTTAAAAAAAAAATATATATATATATATACACTGAAGTGACAAAAGTCATGGGATAGCAATATGCAAATTTTCAGATGGCAGTAGCATCGCGTAGAACAGGTATAAATGCGCAGTGCTTTCGCAGAGCTTTCATTTCTGTTCAAGTTATTCATGTGAAGAGGTTTTGACGTGATGATGACCGCACGACGGGAATTAACAGACTTTGAACGCGGAATGTTAGTTGGAGCTAGACGCATGGGTCATGCCATTTCGGAAATCGTTAGGGAATTCAACATTCCCAGATCCACTGTGCCAAGAGTGTGCCGAGAGAATGAAATTTCAGGCATAACATCCCACCATGAACAGCGCAGTGGTCGACCGCCTGCACTGAACGACCGAGACCGGCGACGTCTGCAAAGAGTCGTAAATGCTAACAG